AGCTCGAGTTCACCCACATATATACCACTTGAGCAAACGAATCACTAATACACGGGGGGCTCATAATTAGGGCTAATTGGCGCAACGAGAGTTATTTCAACCAAACTAATTGATAATATACCAGGGATACAAAGCTACAACTAATCAGCGGTCGGTTAGGAAAATGTTTATCGCCAAGTTGCATTTTCCTAACCGACCGCATATGTCTAATGTTTATCGTCAGAGGACGGCGACGGAAGAATTGTTCTCAGATTTTGATCTGGATTTTGGGCAGAGTTCATCCTGAATGATGGAACCATACAGGCCTACGTCTGTTGGTGCCTGCGGTATTAGTTTTTTGTGTGTGCAAAGATACCATTATTAATTTGAATTAAGTAGATTCATTAGATTAATCAAGTGAAAGGATAAGACTATCCCCAATAGGAAATTAACAATATGTTCTCAAACTAGATTCTAGCCATCACATATAAACCGCTGGATCAACCTAATATATACATTAAATTCTCGAGTACGATGTACCGTAAAAACCTCCAAGTTCTTTTGTGGGTATATAGAGCTTAATTTAGTTTGCTGCTTTCATACATATACAGGATGATCTGCCTGATGATGAGTTCGCCCGCCCTGACACCAGCTTTAGCGCCTGGCTGGATAATATCGAGCAGTCACAGCGCGTCCAGACTGGCGTGCGTGCAGCGGTGATCGCCGTGGTGGTGATGATCGCCCTCGGGCTGTGTTGCTGCTGTTTTAGGAGGTGGAGGGCGGCGGCCAGGAAGCGGCAGCTCGTCCATCCCGTGTCCGAGGGTGTGTTTGCCGCCGCTGTTCCTGCGCCGGCTCCAGCCCCGGTTCCCGACCCGGCCGGCGACGCTTGAGCACCTACCTCCATGCTTTTCGACATATCATTACTATTATTACCACTGTGTTACGACTGGAAATCCAAATACCCAGGCTCCTGATATCTATACCGGCCAGTCATACTTGTTTGGATTTGCACCAGCTACTGTATTGCAGTTGCAGACCATATATGCATTTACATATTGATATGTGAGCTGATCTGATGATGCCTAGCCATTTATCACTTCAAATTTGTACAGTGGCACTGCAAATTTGGCATCTTTTTCTAGAACACAGTCATCACCCCAGTAGTTAAAACACCACCATGTGCAAACAGAAGAGAACTCACGTCCAATCTCGTTCTCTGTAACATGAGTTCAGTTTATTAGTTTACATACAGTAATCTGCATATGCACATATGACAAGCATATCGAGAACTGGGAAACGTGTCCTGTTATTGTAAACAGGGTTTCTCCCTGCCGTATGTATGTTCTGTATGAGTCTAGGTTTTGGATTCCAGATGAAAAACAATCTTGTGGGGCTTTAATAAGATTCTGGATCACACTGCAGTGCAAGTTCAATCATGGCCATTACATTTGAGTGGTCCTTTGCATTGCTTATCTGCCCCCATCTGAGATTATGTATGCCTTGCTTATCACAAGATTCGGATCAATCAGGACCTGGATCACTTCGAGAGTTCTAGTAGAATCCCATACTCGTTTGCGATACCAACCGAGTGCAACCACGAATCAAGTCAAACTAGTACACTTGACTGCAACTTCTGTAGAAAGCAATGAACTAGGAAATATCCCCTGAAACATCACTGCCATACAACATAACAAGAGTTTCATAATCCATTATGCAAACCAGCAACAGCGCAGTATAAATCCATTAGAAATGAGACATAACTGAGGTTAAAATAAAGCCACTAGTTTGAGAGCACCCAAAGGCGTTGGAGTTGAACAATCCAGCAACGAGCAGTCGTCATCGCTCATCTGTCCACATGAAACCATTAGTTAGTTACAGTACGGTTTGATGATTTACAGAGCAGCAAGAAACACATGGAACCCAAGGGAATGTAGCAGAAACTGACAATATCAAAAGAAATTAATATGATGCATTCTGCATATAACAGCGCAGTATAGATCCATTAGAAAGGAGACATAATTTCAGAATTTTTAAATCTTTTCTAGTATTTTTTATGAATTTACTATTCACGTGGGTGCGCACGCACCCATGTTCACCTTTGTATTTTCGATGTTTTTTTGGTATACTTGATTTGGTTTGGGTATTAGTAGTGGAAGGCAAGAAAAGTTTGGATTTAGTTGAGATTTTCTTAAAATTTGATTAGAATGAGTCAATGCATGATGTTATTTTTGAAAATTGTCGAGTTGATTGAATTAATGCACACGTCAAATGGACCGGCCCTAATTGGTTGCGCTTAAGAGAAAGGTAGACGCTTCCGGGCGTAATATTGGGCTGGTGGGAGTAAGGCGACGCTACCAACTCTACCTTTAGAAGTAAAGATGTGTGATGTCGAAAAATAGTTGACATGCATATACATGGGATTCCTCCTTCTAGTGAACATCAGTTGCACACAAGCCTTTCGTTACCCATTAGCTATACCGGCATGTATTTGAGATTCAGCATGTCACCTAATAAAAGAATTGAGATTTATGTAAGATTTCTTCTGCATTCTCGCAAACTTTAGTTGCAACTAGCACCTTAATACACATGTAGCTTTATTTGTGCATATGTATTTGCAAGCCTCAGTCAATTATCATGTTGCAAATGTTTCTATGCACTGTCAATTTCCTTGGTCACTCATTTTAGAAGTTTATCACAAACTGTAATGTACTACTCCTTGCATTCTACCAGCACATGATTTATTTCAAAAGCTATTCCATTGGTACAAGAGAAAAAACTTCATGGCACAATTTTTGTTAGTTTGGTTCATTTGATGGTGCTTCAAATTCTTGATTACCCATACATAAAGTTTCATGAAGAATCATGTATAATGTTTAAGATCGTAAACATCAGAAGCCTGGATTGGGGTATGCGAAGTTCCCTCTATCAAGCTGGTGTTGGTGGTGGTGATGTAAGGGAGCGGCGAGCATGACATGGCGGTAGCAGGTGCCTTCCCGTTCCCTCGTTTTGTTCTCTTTCCCCATGCATTCTTCTTCAAGATCCATTGATGTTATTCTATTCCTCAACGTCTCTGTTTGTGCAGGTGGTTGAACTGCATGGCTTTTCCGTTGCCGCATTTTCCTCATCAAACAGATCATTGTCTCTTCTCTCCATGACTCTTATAATTATTACTCTCTCAGTCGCCTATAATTCGCTCTGTACTACGGCAGAGAAATGATAAATGTATGCAATTGCTTGTGTATTTTTTCCTTGTAAGAGTACATATTTTCTCTTTAAAGCAAACTAATATGAATTATAATAAATTAATATATCTTGTTTCTTTGTTGTAGTGGTTTTGGAATTTGTTTCGATCATGCATAAGAAAATTTGTTGTAGTCCTGATTTTGCAGTAATGATTAATTGCAACAGAAATAGGGTATAACTATTGAATATTAGGACTTCTATGGTGAATAAATCTGATGCTTGGGTCTTAGGAAGACACAAGGAGGAGGCTTTTTTTATTCTCTGATATTCATATAAGTATCTGATAGAGTAGTTACAACTACCAATTTGTCACAGGCTAATAGATTTCCCACCTTATCCTCAAGTTCTTTCTATCGATTCATTACGATTTGTTTGAAAATTGATTTTTGTTGTGATGTGTTTTAGTTGCAAGAAGTACCAAAGGTTATTGTAGATGTCTAGCTCATCTTAAAAATGGATCCTGGTAAGATTGTGAAAATAGTTCTTATGATCAACAAATTTGGTTTGCTACAAGTTTGATTTAAATCCTTTGTCGTGCTGGTATGCCTTTGATAATTGCCCCTTGAAAAAACTCTTTTGTTTTGATGCATTGCAACAAGTATGTGTCTGCACTACTATGTTGGATCCCAAGGCTTTAGATGTTATGTTTCCTCCTTCAAGAGGAAAAATGCATGGATTTATATGTGTAAAATTCAGTTGGTGATGCCTAAATGTGTTTATGGTTCTGGACAATTGTAGGCTTTTCTATGAATACATGGTAACATCATATGTCGTGATTTGTATTTACTACTCCCTTCATCCAAATATATACGACCTAATACGTTTTTTGAGGTTGCCTTTGACAGCATGTTAGAGCTATATTATATGACATGCATGTTACAAAAAGCATACCTTATATTCATATGTGAAAAAGAGTTTCCAATGATAGAAATTTTATATCATACATCTCATATATTATTAATCTTATCAATAGTCAAAGGCAACCTTAAAAAGCAGATTAGGCCCTATATATTTGGATAGAGGGGATTATTTTTTTGGCGAAAGTATTTACAATTTAGGTGGTGTATTTCCACGAAACAAACCCCGCCCACTCAAGACTATTATCTCCTGTCTAGAAGAATGGTGGCATATATAGTTGATATTGTTGGTGCAAGCCTCATTATTAAATTATGTGACATTTATGTTACTGTTGTATTGAATTTTCCAAAAATATAAATTGCACGATATTTTTGATGTTATTCTTGAGTACTTCTCAATTGTGAGGAACAACCAAAGACTCCAACTATCCGTTTCTCTGTAAAATTATTACACGCTCTCATAGTTCCGGGAAAGATTTCTTGAAGTTTGATTCCTCTTTACTCTTAGCCTTTGATATTATCTATCATTCTTTTTGTAACAAATTATGGTCTATTAAATTAAACTATTTTGTCTTTCCAAAATCAACAAGTTTTAATGAAATTTTGTTCCTATTTTAAAGCTGTCGCAAATATGCAACTCTGAATTACTTTCTGACCATTGTAGATTTTGTTGTTTTTATGATATTTCTGGCTTATAACAGAACAGTCAGTTACTAAAGCCATTACTTTCAAGTTTCAATATACAGATAAAGTAAGCGAACCATGTTTTGAGCTAATTACATATGCCATTTTTATTCCCGGGGTTATATACCAACACCTTGTGGTGCAAAAATACTAAGCCAATACTTTCAAGCTTCGATAGAAAAAATGATTATGCTTCATGTGTTGATTTATTTGGTAACTCTAGAGGATATTGCTTAAGAGTATAAATGGGATTTAGGGTATATTTGTGTTCAGGAACTTGGTTGACATGTTTAAATAGATACTGGTACTTGGCTCGGGATGGGAATACATCATCCTCTAGAGGTTCTTACCTCTGTATAAGCAAGCAGTAGATCACTAGGGTTACTCCTAAACAGATTAGGCAATCTTCTTGCAGTTTATTTTTGAGTTACCTCTTCAGTAACAGTGAGAATGATTCATGATTTCCAAAGTTGAGGAGACCTATATATAAGGAGGTGCTTCCCCTTAGAGACGTTCGTGCCCTGATTGCAGGTCTAATAACACAATCAGTGTAATATGAGGCATGAATATATATCACGAATATTGGATTATGGGCAATTCTTAATATTTTCTCTACATTAAATACCTCAAATCCTCTATACGAATTAATACCTTAATATTTATGTATAAAATAGAAGCATACCATATCTTAGGCCATAAATTGCATGAATGGTAACCATTAAACTTTTTGCATGAATATATACCATATGTTCTATACTAATTATATACATAGAGAAAATCCGACCCTCGGGCCATAAATTACATGAATGGTTACTAAATCTGTCAGATGCACAAAAGATTATAAATATGTTAGTGCACGCACAATGAAAATTGACCATTCAAGTCTTCCAGAATGAAAGAAAAAAAGTCTTTTACAGTAGCCCTTCTACTATCATATCTTGTTCTAGTTGCCACAGGAAAAGGTGCAAGAACTATACAACAATGGGAAAATACTAGCCATATCCCCACATATCGACAATCTAATAAAACCATTATGGTATGAGCAAGTATACATCTTACTTTATATAATTTATAATTGTTTTGATGGCTAACAAGCAGAGGAAACATCAAACCAGATGGAAGATGGAGATATCTATGATTGCATCGATGTGAATCTACAACCGGCTTTTAACCACCCGTTGTTGAAAAACCACACAATTCAGGTAAATATAAAGTTAGGATTTACAACCATTCTTTGATTCAAATGATAATGACTCATGTTTGGGGACAAATGAATAGTATGTCCTCTGAGACACATGAATATTAGTTTGGCAGAGAATTGTTTAAACAGATCATGAGTTTTGGGATAATACATCATGTTGAATTATAATATTTCAAAATATTGCTTCTTCTACTCCCTTTTTGTTTCAAATCAAAATTGTGTGTTTGTTTCAAAGTTACCTGATATGCTACAAGAGGCATCGAACTCTGACCCTGATTAATCAAATTAGAACGGGGTGTAATTTGCCCCCATCGTCCCGGGTTCGCTCTCAGATTCTCCGAATCCAAAATTGTGCGCATCTTCTTGCACTTGAGTTCTTCACCACGTGTCACTCAGCCCCATCTGCCCATCGACGAGTAGGTGAGGTGTAGAGGGATTTTTGTTGGCTGGCGCAAGGCTATAGTGTTGGTGACCTGCGCAGAGATGAGAAGCTCACAGCAGATGGTTCATGTGGAAAAGAAGCTCGATGTGGAGGAAGAGATGGCAGAGAGACATGATACAGTTGCGGTTGTGCTATGGCGTTGGCCATGGCACTATAACAGACCAATTTGAGGGCTCATTTGATTCAAAGGAGTTCCAGAGGATTTTCGGACGGTTAGAATCCTTAGGAGTTTTTCCTACATTGGTCATTTGATTAATAGAATTGAATCATATAGGAATTTTTCCTATGGAATCATGTGTACTACATTTAATTGGAAATCTCACATCCACTCCAACCTCTTTTTCATTTCCTTTGTTTTTCCTATGTCATCAAACACTGTGTGCTAATCCTACGAGATTCAAGTTGATTTCCGCTCCAACCCTTTATTTTCCCTATTCCCGCATTTTGAGAATCCTACGAATCAAAGAGGGCCTGAATGGGTAGCGAGAGTGCAGGGTTTCTTGTGGTTTAGGGTTGACCATTGGCATGTTGGGATTACGTGGGACAACCCAGTAAAATCTCTCTTTCTCTGTCAACATTTTTTTAGAATTTAGGCATATAGGATCTTCAATTGTTTTTAGGTATGCATATTCTTTACGATCATGATGCGAATCTGAAACTTTGAATCCCTGAACCCAATCTCCGATTCACGAATCAGAGATGTAAACCCGAACAAACCCAATTGTACGAGGTAGCGAATCATGAATTGCAAATCAGGTAACTACTATTGTTCATAACATATTCTGCAAAATAAATAGAAGTGAAAGTGAAATACATAAATCTTATGATATATGGGCTTCGCCAGTAATGAATTAAATGGCATAATTTCTGTACATCTGAGTGTGCTTTGGCAACATATACATGACTATAAGCTAACCAAGTTTTCTTGTCAAACAGATGGAACCAAGTTCTTTTCCGATTGGACTAAACATAAAATCTTCGTTCCCACATGTCGTTTCACAAGTGCATTTGTCTATTGTCAAATGCCCAAGAGGAATGGTTCCAATACTACGTAATGGTAGAAGGAATCAAATATCAGCACACTTTATAGATCAAGCGATTAGCAAGGATGCACAACTCGAGGTGAGTTCTCTAGAGTTATTTTCAGGAAAAAAAGATAGGTTAATTTTGCAACTAGCCAGAGCTGTTGCATGGCTAGCGTAAGTATGACATAATTGAGCAAAAAACAAGGCAACTTAAGCTGATTTAATTCCAAAATATTATTCTTGTGCAAAGTCATGTTTGAATGCTAATATTTGTTCTTTCGATAAAGATTCTAAGGTGAAGTATATAAGGCCAATAAGTTATAGATGTAGGACCTTCAATTTTGAAAATTTGAGAGGTTAGTATTTAATGCTATATCTTAAGAATGGGAGTGGGCCAACCCACTGCGGCCTCAACCCGGTCCCCGCTAGCTCCTCTGGTCTGTATAGGGACATGGACCCAGCCCAATGGTCCAACAATGAATGGCCTCATGTCGCATTCGATAATACGGTCCAACACATTTAAGTAACATATTTGTATGAGAACATGGATTAGTTACACAAAAACATACCATCATTTGGCAACTGAATTTTATATCAAGTTAGGATATTTAGACATTATTCGTTTAATGAAGAAGGCACACATATACAACTCCATTTCAATTTTTACGATGAACCTGTTAAAATTACAAGTTAGCATATTTGCAACTCAACAGTATAAGCAATTTTGGGTCAATAGTTTGAATTTTCTACAAGCATGAAACTAACAATCTAAAAGTTATGTGATATTGTAATGTCATATTACATCCCAAGGCAGCAAAATCTAGGTCAACCTTCTTGCATTGATGGGTCCTCCCGCCCCAATTTAATTACGAGCCAACCAAAAACCCCGTTGAGTTCCAAATTTTGTGTCAGGACGATATCCCCTGTCGGTCCATTCCCATTGTCATTATGCCTTCACCTAGTTCTTTCAACTAAACAATACATTGAGTCTTGATGTTCTTTCAGTAATCTATGAAGGAATTTCATTTGTCTTACCATGTTTCTCCAAGACTTTGTTGAAGTGTTTGATCTATATTGATCTCTCTAACTCTCAATTGACAATATTAAGTTAAATTCGCTGATTTCATAATTCATTGTAGTAACCTATATGTAGTTAATATCTGCTCCTCACATATACCAACATTAAATATTTTGTCTTTAGGAGGCAGGGCTGAAATATTTTGATGATTTATATGGGGTACAAGCTACAATAAATGTTTATGAGCCAAAGGTGAAGAAGGATAGCGGGGATCTTAGTCAAACAGGGATCCAAATTGATAACGGACCAAAGGGTCATATGGACAGTATAAATGCTTGTTATTCAGTATCTCCAAGCTTCTATGGCGATACTTTTGCGAGGTTTCATGTTGGTTGGGTAAGGAGCAATATTTCTTTGGTTACATATAATGTTATCAACCACACAGTTTTTATATCATGAAGATACAACCATAATTTGATGCAATATTTGTTTATCTTTGGATAAACTTGGGTAACAGCGCGATGGTGTACAAAACAAGTCATGCATTGATCATGATTGCCCTGGTTTTGTTCAAGTTAGCCACAATGTTGGCCTTGGAGGAAGAGTAAAACCTGTTTCAGTTTACAATGGACCACAATATGTGATATACATTCTTATATTCAAGGTATTCACTTAGTCATTGAATTTTACAATTTCATATATATGTTATACGGTGCATATGGAAATATTCACTTGTCTTATTTGTTGCGCAACAACACATTTTGGCAGTTCACTATGATATCTGTTGAATAACTTAACATAGTCAAAATCCTTATCTAGATAAATTTAATACAACCTTTTCGGGACGGAGGTAATATATATTATCTTTTGACACACATTTGAAAAATTATCAAGAACAGGGGCCTAAATTTAAAAGGTACCTACCAATAAAAGAATAGAGATTGGATACAAACTTTCAACCGTGGAAAATATTTCTACTTCTAGGAATCACAAATGTATCCTCTTGATTTACATCGGTCCCTTGTTATGGGAAGAGGTTATGAGACAAAATGCTTACTATGAACTTCAGAGGAATATAAAAAAATGCATGGATGCTATGAAATTTAGTAGAGTAGCATAGAGGATTTTATGTCCTCGATATGTTCAACATACTTTCATTCACATTTTTATTTATCTTAGGACCCAAAGACACATAATTGGTGGTTGGCGTATGGTAAAGACAAAACACCAGTTGGATATTGGCCAAGTTCATTATTCACTCGCCTTAAGGATAAAGGGAACTTTTCATACACTGGTGGGCATGTTTCAGGACCGACGGCTTCATCAGACTCTCCACAAATTGGCAGTGGGCATTTTGCCTCCGAAGGCTATGGAAAAGCGGCTTTTATAAAAGACATCCAAATTATTGATAACAACAACAAGCTTGTAACACCAAATGAAGAGAAAGCGATTAGAGGCAGTAGTGATGTAAGGAAATATACCATCGGCAATTATGGAGTTGACGACCATGGTGTGCATATGTACTATGGTGGGCCGGGTAATTTTGTCTAAGAATGTACCCTACAAACTACAATAAAGATGTCATTATATTCTCGAGTTGGACATTTTTTTTCCAAATAAAAGTAGAGCATTTTCTATGTTATGCATTTCAAAACAGGCAATGCCTGGTGACCAGAGTCAATTACGTGGTAGCCTATGTGAGCACCGCACCAAGGATGCAGCTGGGCATAGACGATCCGGGAGGAAAAAAAACTAAAAGCAGAAGAAACATAAATGGGGGTGTGGGAAAGAGCCGGAGAGCAAAGTGGGTACACTATTTGCTGGATAATTATTTTATTCCTATATAGGATTTATCATTGACATATAACTGTTTTGTTTCTGCGAATTTTGTGAATTTCAGAATCATGAGCATACTTCAAATACGAAATCTATCTCTGCATTTGTGTTGGTGGGGCTGCATCCTTTTCATGCACCCCCCCCCCCGAACCCCTTCACCCTCGACATCTTCACGTGAAGTTGCATTTACCTATCTATGCCTGCCATGGAGTCTTTTCTTTAGCACCACGGTGCTACGGCTCCATTTCTGGATGCAGTTGAACTTGAAGTCAAAGGCCAGGGGACACCCGCCAGCATACCTGCGTTGCACGAGCATTAACATGTGCGGATCCCTTTTCTCTTTTCTATGCCCTTCTCCTCTCTCTCTCTCTCTCTCTCTCTCTCTCTCTCTCTCTCTCTCTCTCTCTCTTTCCCGCCGGCCATGCGATCCATTAGTTTGGTAGAATGGGGAGTTTCCACTTAGTGAAAAGGTTAATTTCTACCATACCCTTGTTTGAAAACAAATTATGCTGTATGAGTATTTCATTGTTTACCTGCATTAGATCGCTAGTCGAAACAAATAGTGGTATCATTTTTTCTGCAATTAGCAGCAGTCTCATGGGCGGTACAACCCCCCTCGCAATACGTATAAAGGGTAATACGGACTTTTCACAATTTGTATCTACTTTGGGCAGCTTACTTGGGCCGGCCCATTTGGGATGGCATGCGATGAAAAATAGCGAACAAGGAACGTACAAGCTGGGATTCAAACACAGGACCACTTAAAACATTAAGTGCGTCCAGAACAACTGCGACAGTATGCCTTTTGTGAACAATCTAAAGCTAGATACATTAAGTAATGGATGGGCTGGGAATTTTCAAACGATTTTAGAAACACTTTGAGAACTGGTCTTTTTTCCATAGTTTCTTTTTATTTATTTATTTATTTTCCTTTCCTGTTATGTTTCTTCTTTCTTTTTCAAAAAAAGGCCACGCTTTCAAAATGTTGTTCAAAATTTCAAAAGGTTCGTTATTTCCAAATTTTGTTCATAAATTAAAAAATATTTGCATTTTTGAAAATGGTAAGGTAATATCAAAAAATGTTTATGTCTCTAAAAGATTGTTCAGAATGTCAAAATGCGAATAATTTTTTGAAAAGCACAAACAAAATAGTGAAAACAAACATTTTCTAAGAGCACGGACAAAAAATTAAATTCCAATTTTTCCTAGAAATGACACTAAATAAATGGTATAAAAAAGTGTTCTAAATTTGCCCGAACATTTTTTGAATTTGTGAACAATATTTTTAAAAATGATAACATTTTTTAAATTCTGAACAAATCCCAATGGTCGCCCGAGATGAGTGATGCCATCACTTAGTTAGGCAAGGCCTAAGATTTTTTTTTCTTTTCTATTTTTCGTGTTTTCTATTTTTTTTGTTAATTTGCCTTTTCTCATTTTTAAACTTTATAATTTTTTGAAACCTGTTCAAAATATTTAAATACCAAAATAACAGCTTTAAGTAACTATTTTAAATTATGATTTTAATTCTTTTTTGTTTAAATATTTATTAAATGCTTTAAAAAGCATTTATTGTTTTCAATTCTATCATTTTGTATTTATTAGTTATGTTAGGAACTTAAGATGTCATTTTAAGTATCTATATAAATTATGATTTTAAATACATTTTCCCTTCAAACCTAGCGTGGATGACTACTCGAGGACGCTACGTTGAACATGGTGTTTTTTTGGACATTCTTGAAATGACCCCAACATTTGCGAGAAGGTGGCATGCCCATGGTAGGCATCCATGCCCCCAATATTTTTTCAATGGCCTTGTATGACCAATTCAAGGCACCAATCCAAGTTGCTTAGGTTTTCGACAAGTTTTGCATTTTCTAAAGTTTTCTTGGTCAAAAAAGGTCGATAAATGGCTAGATGTGTCGCAACTTGCATATGGTGTCGTAAGTAGTTCAAACCTGCCATGGATGCCTACCATGGGCATGTCCACCTAGTGGCAAGAGTTGTGGTAATTTCAAGGATATCCACGAAAACACCATGTTCAACGGAGGGTTTTCAGGTTGGCCAGAAGGGTATGTCAAAGAGCACGTTGTTTTTCGACATCCTTAAAATGACCCTATTTTTTTTCATGGCCTCATTTGACCAATTCAAGGCAACATGACAAGTTGTTTTGGTTTTCGACAAGTTTTGTATTTTTCTAGAGTTTTCTCGGTAGAAAATGCAGAAAAAAGGTTGGACGTGTCGCAACTTGCGTACGGTGTCAGAAATTGTTCAAACCTGGCATGGATGCGTATGAGGGGCATGCCCACCTAGTGGCAAAAGTTGGGATCATTTCAAGGCTGTCCAAAAATAGACCTTTTTGAACGAAGTGTGTTCTGGCGGCCAGAAGGCTCCGCCTAAGAGCATGTTATTTCTCATCATCCTTGAAATTACTCCACTTTTTTCAACGGCCTCATATGACCAATTCAAGGCATCATGACAAGATGTTTGGGTTTTTGACAAGTTTAGCATTTCTTGGAGTTTTCTCGGTTAAAAAATGACAATTAATGACAGAACATGTCGCAACATGCATACGGTGTCGGAAGTCATTCAGACCAGGCATCAATGCCTAACATGGGCATGCCCACTTCCTTCCAAAAGTTGGGGGCAGTCCTGATATTTCCAAAGAAATACCATGTTCAATGGAGGGTGTTCGAATAGGCCAGAAGGATATGTTTGGGAGTTGAAAGTGCAACTAATCCCCGGGTGGTTTTGATAATTCATGACAACATATATCTCATTGAATTAATATTCATTTAAGATAAATATTTCAGGATGTTCAGTGATTGGCATGGCTAACATAGAGATGTGGACCCCTCAAAATGCTTAGGACAAGGATTGGCAAAAGCTCAAGACTCTACATTTTTAAGTGATTCAAAATCACATTGAGTCCATAGGAAAGCCAATACTATTAAAAGGGGATGAGGTGTTTCTTAATGGTCTACTTGCTCAAATGCTTAGTGATATTGCTCCAAAACCCTCAGCCACTTTCTCTATCCAAATATGTCCAAAATCTAAACTCCAACTCGGCCCCACCGATATTTCCCATACGGAGTCAACGAGTTCATCTTGACATAGCCACTTCCAAAAACCCTAACAGTTCGGTCATACCGATACGGATCTCGGTCCCACCAAGATGTCCTTGCCAGCACTTTGTGACTTGTTGCATTCACTTCGGTCTCACCGATATGTTGCAATCGATCCCATCGAATTGGCTTGACTGATTCTCTATTGCTCATTGTATTTAGTTTGGTGCCACCGAGATGATGCAATCGGTGCCACCAAGATGAAGTTTGCCCTAAGCCCTAGCATATAGGTCCCACCGAGTTGTTCCAGTCGGTCCCACCGAGATTCTTAACATTCATATTTTTGTACTGATCGGTGCCACAGAGTTTACTAATCGGTGCCACCGAGATGGGTCAAAAGTGTGTAACGGTTGGATTTTGTGTGGATACTATATATACCCCTCCACCCCCTTCTTCTCCATAAAGAGAGCCATCAGAACATGCCTACACTTCCACCATACATTTTCTAAGAGAGCACCACCTACACATGTGTTGAGATCAAGATATTCCATCCAACCATTTGAACCTTGATTTCTAGCCTTTCCCAAGTTGCTTTCCACACAAATCCTTCTTCCATCATAGTCAAATATGTGTGAGAGAGTTGAGTGTGGGGGAGACTATCATTTGAAACACAAGAGCAAGGAGTTCATCATCAACATGCCGCCCATTACCTTTTGGAGAGTGGTGTCTCTTAGATTGCATATGTGTCGCTTGGGAGCCTCTGACATGATGTGGAGTTGAATCAAGAAGTTTTGAATGGCAAGGAGATCGCCTACTTTGTGAAGATCTATCCGAGTGAGGCAAGTCCTTCGTGGACGATGGCCATGATGGGATAGACAAGGTTGCTTCTGCGTGGACCCTTTGTGGGTGGAGCCCTCCATGGACTCGCGCAACCCTTACCCTTCATGGGTTGAAGTCTCCATCAACGTAGACGTACGATAGGACCACCTATCGGAACCACGCCAAAAAATTTCATGTCTCCATTGCGTTTGCCTTCTCCAAACCCTTCCCTTTACCTTCATATGTAATGTTTTACATTTCGCTGCTATACTCTTAGAATTGCATGTGTAGGTTGATTGCTTGACTTGTCATAATTGCTAAAATCTGCCCACAACTAAAATTAGGAAAATGAGAGATTTTTATTTGGTCAAGTAGTCTAATCCCCCACTAGACATATTTTTGATCCTACAGGAGCACCTCATTTCTCGACATCCCTTAAATGACCCTTTTTTTCATGGCCTTGTATGACCAATTCAAGGCACCATGCCAAATTGTTTGACTTTTTTTTTGCCAAGTTTTGCATTTTTTGAGTTTTCTCGGTGAAAAAAGCCGATTAATGGCAAAATGTGTCAAAATGTGCATACGGTGTCGGAAGTCATTCAAACTAGGAATGGGTGCATACGGTCCATGCCAGGCTCTTACAAGAAGCTGGGATCATTTATCCATAGCCTAAAATATACCAGTTAGATGAGTGTATTTGTAATTCCTGTCATTATCACTCAACATAAACATTATATTTTTCCTAACAATTTGCTGAAATTTGTCAACAATTTTGGAATTTCAAAGCGTGTATTAAAATTTTACTAACTTCAACACTTTTTTCCAAAATTG